ATCCCTCCTTTTCGGAAGAGGCGCAGAGGGTACTCCGACTCTCGCTGGATGAGTTTTCGCTGCCCAAGTTCTACTTGCTCTTCGGCATCAGCAAGGTCAAGTCGGCAGCAGTTACTGCCTTCCGCTCCAGCTGCCGTCATCCCACAGATAAGTGGCTGGGAAATGAGAGAGTTACCCAACCGTTGCCCGCGGATCGGGAGAGGTTGTCGCTACCTTCGCTGGAGGTTATAACGGATGCTCTACTCGAAATCATGGAGGCCTGCATGCGCGATGTTCCAGATTGTGAGTGGCTGAACACCTGGACCTCCCTGGCCCGCAGTTTCGCCTTCTGCTACAACCCAGCTCTGCAGCCAAGAGCTCTCATAGTCTACGGATGCATCAGCAAGAGTGTTACTGACCACGAGGTGAAGCAGTTGCTCCGCATCCTGGTCAAGGCCCTGGAATCGTTCAACGATCTTATTTTGATTGAGGCGCTGGTCATGTGTTTGACTCGCATTCAACCGCTATTGCGTCCGGAATCTCCCATTCATCGGGCCCTCTTCTGGGTGGCCATTTCAGTACTGCAGCTGGACGAGATTACTCTTTATGGTGCTGGACTAGCCCTGCTTGAGCAGAACCTGCACACGCTCAAGTCGCAGGGCTGCTTCGACAAGAAGGAGACTATAGCCGAAGTGATGATGAAGACAAGGGAAAAGCTGGAGTGGCACTTTAAGCAACTGGATCACGCCGTGGGTCTTTCGTTCCGCAGCAATTTCCACTTTGCCCTGGTGGGGCATTTGATCAAGGTAATTTTAAAGCCTATAAAGACCAAAGCTGTTTTTCAATCTTTGGTTTATTATTTTTCAGGGCTTCCGGCACCCCACACCCACAACTGTTTCCCGCACCTCCCGAGTGCTGACTATGCTCCTGGGCATCATAGCCAAACCACTGCATCGGGACAAGTTCGAGGTGACTCCCGATAGTGTGGCTTACTTAACTGCCTTGGTGGCTGTCTCCGAGGAAGTCCGTTCTAGGTGTCATGTGAAACACGCCCTGCCCCGCTGGCCCGCCGATCTTAGTGGCAGTGTGGAGAATGGCGAAGTAGCCAGCGGAGTGCAAGCCGTAAGATTAAAGAACATGGATTTTACGAAATGAAATCTACTTTTTTAAATCCACCTTAGATTGGCATGCCGCTGTCACGTCGGCAAAAAAGTTGGGACATCCTAGACCAGTCCGCTTTGCAGTTTGCTCGCCAGCACAAGGTTCCCACTCTTCAGGTGAGTTTATGAGATCAATAAAACCGAGATGAAATCCCCACTTGTTCGAAATTTGCTGTGCAAAAGTTGTTATAACCATCTGCTATAGTAACTTTTGGCTATCTACTTGAGTTTACATATTCCAACCTATATACTCTATATATCAAACCTACTTGTAATATCAACTATCTATCGAGATCAGCCGTTGCATAACTAATAATCGTTCAATGATTTTTTCTTTTCTCTTTTATGTTTGATTTGAATATAAAAAAAACGTTACATATGAATCACAATGTATACTCGTTAAAATCGTATTAATGCCATAATATGCCTGCCGAATCTTACATCTAATTGGTGCTTGTAACTCATCAATATCAATATTACTATATGTCCTTTATGAACTATAAACTGTCACTGCCACCTGCCACTTCTACTACTACTACTACGCATGAACATTGTAATTTGATTTACGTTTGATTTGGTTAACGAAACCCGCTAAAACTACAACTCCAACATCAACACTGTGACAAAAAACACCACCACGAACATTAAATTTAACATCCGTAGAATGCGCGGGTTTTGTTCAAAACTCAACGCTCATTCTCGGTGCCGACAACCAAAGATCCGAACAATGCCGCCGGCATCGAAGAACGTCAGGTATTGCCCAACAAAACTTATCTCTTAGCTAAAACTAACTCTACTACCCCACTAAATCCTTAATATCTAAGTTCGCCACTAAACCCACTTTAAAAGTAACATTGATGTTTCGCTGTAATGTCATTTAGTTTGGTTTCTCTTGCATGGCACTGAATGAAGACAGTAAAAAAGCCATCCCATGGCCAACATGCACATTTGGTTTATATCGTAGATCTTTCATCTTCACAAGTTTTTTAGACCATCTGTGTGTAATTGGATTGCACTTTTTATGGTAACTTCACTAACACCTGTAAATATATATTTAAACAGGAACGCGGCTCGCGTTCTTCGGTATCCAACGAGTCGAACGTCCTGCTCGATCCCGAGGTCCTGCCTGACTTGTCCATACAAGCCCTGGTATTAACTGTTCTGGCCACCTTGGTCAAGTACTCGTCGGATGAGGGGGAAACGCGCGTTTTATATCAGTATTTGGCCGAAGGATCGGTGGTCTTTCCCAAGGTGTTTCCAGTCATGTGAGTTTATACGGTTATACATATCCTTTTAAGAAGCTTTAATAATGTTTTTGATTTCAGCCATTCTTTGCTGGACCAGAAGATAAACAATATATTGTCGGTGTCACACGATCAAGTGGTGCTCAACTCAGTCCAGAGCATTATACAAAACATGCTGGCCAGCGAAGATCCCTCCCAGCAGCAGCTCCACTTCCTCCAAAGTTGCGGCTTTGGCGGTCTATGGCGATTTGCTGGACCCTTCACCAAGGTGGGTTCCTAACTATACTCCGTAGAACATCGTTTTTTATAATTAATACATATTTGCAGTACAACATGATGGGTGAGTCCTCGGAGCTGTTTGTCAACTGCCTGGAGGCCATGGTTGAGACCTGCTTGCCAGGCGATGAGTCCGCCCCGGTGCCACCCTCTCCGCGTCCCTACAACCTGAGCTCCAGCCTGAGCAGCCTGACCTTGGGCTCCCCCACGGACAAAGGTTAGTACCCTGAATATCATTCTTTAGCTCTTTCCAACAGCTATACCGTAATGCATTGCTTTAACCTAGAGCGTTTACTTTTCAATAGCAAGCCCAAGCCCCGTTTGAATGAACACAGAATTTTACAAACAGTATTTACTCAAACCTAACCTTTTCTTTATATCACACCAATTGCGATATATAGCATTCTCATCGGAATCATTAGATTTTTATGACAATTGCCCAGGCAGCGTCAGCAGCCTGCGACGCGCCTCACACAGCAAATCACGCGCCAAACATCGAATTAACGACAGTCCATCACATTGAACGTTCCACAAGTAAAATACAAAATATATTAAAACTGCAACTAAAGACAAACGATGAATAGCCGAAAACAATGCCACTAAATAACACCAATATTGGAAACAAATATGTATTTCGTAGTTATCTAAGCTTTGCCAAATGGAATTATTGTCCCGACACTCGAAAAGATTCATTTTTGTAATTACGGACACCTTATTCGATATGCAAATTGTTAAACACAGTACCAAAAGCCTAAAGGAAATGCACTTAATCGTACACGCATTAGCAAATTGATGTTGAAGATTTGAGAATTATATATTGATGATAAATCTGGTACCTTGAAGCATTTACAACATATTTTCGAAATCATGTGGGTGATTTAAACGCACCTTTTTTGTAGCGTAGAGTAGTGTTGTCAAAAATAATTGTTGTTTAAAGATTAATAGAGTCGAAAAATGTAATTCACGATAGCTGAGTTCTAACAGAGAACCAAAATATATTTCTGATATACCGCTGCATGCCAAGAAAATTTTATAATACTGCAATTTGAAAAATCACACCCTGTGCAAGTTTCAGTTTCCAGTAGCTGCTAATTTGGCTAAAAACAAAAATGAAAACACAAAAAATACATCAAGATTTTATATATTTTCATTGAAGACTATATTTTATACGAGCCAATAGATAATTGAAGTAAATTATAAGTAAATTAAATAATCTTCACCGCTTCTTCGCCCAGATTTTCCTTTATTCCCGACTATATTCCTTCCCTCGATGTGTTTATGCAACTTTTGTCTTACTTTCAGCTGCATGAATAACAACTACAAACCCGCGCACTAGACGTACCACACTAATCGCAAAAGTAATGCGTTTCCTAAATCTGTTTAAAAAGTGCTTTTAGAGAACGTGAAAACCAAATCCCCACAGAAAGTCGTACAAAATCATAGAATATTTATATATTGGTATATGTATGTATAGAATGTCCAGAAGCGATGGCCACTCAATGCGAAAGGAGGAGATGTGTGTAAAAAAGAGTGTATATAAGGTGTATGTGTAGAAGGGAGTGGATCCAGGATACTGTAAGCCCCGTAGAGGAAGATATCGAACGGAAATATTTTTTAACGATTACCGATTGTACATTTTAAAGTTTGCCATCCGCAACTGCAACTAGGCACACCAAGTCCACCAGTTCCTGAGAAGATGACCACGACCAGGCGAAACGGAGTTAACCACGAAAGCGTTTAAAGGCAAAATCAAACGAAACGAATAACAGAATAACTTAAAGCTTTAAGAGGGCGGCATGTTCCAAATGTCGCTCGCATTGTTTTGTATTATAAAGGAATCTCCCCGCAGCAAATGTATCAGATGGCATTTATTTTTTCTTTTATTCTAATTACTATTGTTTTTTTAACCAAGTTTATATCTCATTAGTCCTTACTAATTTATTTCATCAGCACATTCTCGAAGAAAATTCTAAAACACCAAAAACTAAACGAAGATAAGCTTAAAAATCGACCCAGTCCGCTTTAAATATAATTTAGTTTTAAGCACAAACCAAGATTTTTATCGAAATAGAGTTGATAAGCGAAAAGAATCGAACCAAAATAAAACCTTACGAACGTTACACATTTGTACCTCTTATTAAACAATAAACGAAACAAATTAGTCCGTTACACTTACTTTCTAGCACATGGATTTTAAACTGTATTCGGCGTTACCCGCTTAAAACACGAGGAATTTTTTAAATCTAGATGAGCAAAATGGAACAGGATTCTATGCATTATTATTAATCTAAATGTATATGTGTGTGTTGCTATATGTGTATCAAACGAATATGTATCTTTGTATATTACAGCCACTTGAAGATATTTATGAAATGTTAATGTCCCAAATTTATCAATGTAAAAGAATATCGAACAACTTAATATACTTTCAATTAAAATGTTTAAAGAATATAAGAAATGTTGTTTTGATGGGAAGTTTTGATTGGTGACCCCGATCTTTCCTTAGGATTATATAATTACCATTTCGGTTAAGATCCTTGATCTGCCAGCAGATTTTAAAACCAACCCCACATAAGTGGGATGATTCATCATTGTCAGCAGTTTATCCCTCCTCTAAAATCTTCTTTTTTAATGCAAATTGAAGTCTTTGTTTTTGCATATGGCTGTCTTTCTTGAGCCATCCCAAAATCCATATCAAAACATTGCAACGCCGATGATCTCAAAAACCTCCCCCACGAAGAATACTGGAAACGAAATTTACGAAATCAGTGCCATCAGATGTCAGCGAATGTCGCTGGTGCCGTTTTTCCGTTTTCTGTTTGTTAGCTTCTCGATTTCATGGCTGCGATTGCAGCGACCCCTGGTCCTGAATTTGAACTGGAACTCACCCTCGGGCAGGTGGATTTCGTCAATGGCCCAATCCGAAGACCCAATCTCGCAAAATGCGCCAAACAAGTGTCACAGCTGACCGAGGCCGAGTCCAAAGCCGAGCAACCAAGCAACCGGGAGCAGGAGTGCGGCACAATCCCAATACTTGTGGGAATGTCTCCAGTAAACTTTCTCACGATGCACATGCACCGACTGCCGACCGACACCGACCCATCGGAGCACCGGCTGTTTGCCGCTTCCCTGCCTCTGGCTCTGGGTGGTGCTATTCCACTAGTGGTGGTTGCTGCGGTGGTTGCTTCTGCTAAGTGTAACGCAATGTCGCGCCAAAGAGGAAATGAGGTCTGTGTGACTGTGCGCCAAAAGGGAAGAGCCTGCACTTAAAAAAATTAGATTAAGAAGGTATTACTTATTTTGACAGGGAACATCAGAAAGGCAATACGTTTAATTGAAAATCAAAAGTTAATACAAGATATTTATTGTAATGTTTTTTTTTTTTGTAGATACTTTCGCTAACAATCCTATTGGATAACGTTATTGGACCAAAATATGGTAGTCTTCGATATACAAAAATAGTTGTTTATATCTTCGTGACCTTTCTTAAGGGAAGTTTTCTTCCTAAATAGTAATATAAGAATATTCAAAATTTAAATTTGAACTTGAAAGACAATATTTATGTATCTTCAGCAACCAATTCTTCATTTTCGATAGTAATCTATTGGAAATTATAATGATATAGGTAATTTATTTTTTTCGATTTACCAAACCATTTTTCCTCAGTGTCCCTGCACGCACACAGCCAGAAGGCCTCACCCATGTGCAACAATGGCATCGCCTCGACGAGATTGGCTCTTTGGCTTAAGTGAGGACGGCACGCATGGGGCACGGCTCTCTTTTCCCGAGAGGAGTGGGAACCAGGGAGCGGATAGAGTGGCACGGATGGCTGGCAGGCAGGTCGAGGTCATGGAGATGTCGATGTTGTGTCGTGTGTGCGTGTGGTGCGCTGCTGGTGGTGGTGGTTGATTGCTCCGGCTCTCGTCTTTCCTCGGCTCTTGCTCTTCTTCTTGCGCCTCACCTCCGACCCTTCTTCTTCTTCTTCGGGTTGTTGCGCCGGCGCACGGCAACAGCACGAGGAAGAGAGACGCCCGAAGAGAGCCAAGATCCGAAGAACGTGTTATTGGGCCCTAGCCAATACACTGAAAATAATTTAACTGGTATTATATAACAAATTTCATTCGATTTTTTTACATTGCCCTTGTTCAAGTTGTAAGACGAACCCAAATAGAACTTCAAACAAAATATGCTGAGGTATCTCATAAGGATTTACTATTTCCTCATTAGGCAAAAACTATAGTATACTTTTTAGCGACCCCATGTGACAATATTTGATGAAGTTTCTATCAAAGACTGATCGCTCTTATTATCAACCAAAAAGATTTAAAACTTGTTGATCCCTTAAATATTTCTATATTCTTAAAATATTTCAATATTGTAATTCGTTTTTTTACACTCACAGTTGATCAACGTAATATAGTGAAATTTGCTATATTTTTTTCGGATTCTATATATCATAAAAAGTTTCTAGGAACCCAGCAACTTTTGTCAGTGTAAAAAGAGAGCCGCAGCGGCTTCCGCCCGATCCAATTTTTTTGAAGTTGCACACGTGCAGCGCCGAGGGAATCTTGCCACAAGCAGAGAGTGACCCGATTGATGCTTCGTGCTGATCGTGATCGTCGCCGTGGAGGAGCGTCGTTGTGATCGCTGTGATCACTGTGCGTGGTGGCAGTTAGGGGAGGATTTCGATTTCGCTTTCGCAAGTGTACGGCACCGGCTGTGTGGCAGCTACAAAAAGGATCAGCTTACCTTGCGGCAAGATCATTTCTCAAGTGACTACCGTGCAGTGCGGAGCGGCAGCAGCGACATCGCAACCTCGCAACTTTATTTACAAACAACTACAAACTCTTCAAACACAATGGCCGTGCAGGGTCAGAGATTTATGACCAAGACTCAGCACTACCGCAAGGTGACCAAACCTCTGCTGGAGCGCAAGAGACGCGCCCGGATGAACCTTTATCTGGATGAGCTAAAAGATCTCATCGTGGACACGATGGATGCGCAGGGGGAGCAGGTCAGCAAACTGGAGAAGGCGGACATCCTGGAGCTCACAGTCAACTATCTGAAGGCGCAGCAGCAGCAGCGAGTGGCCAATCCCCAATCTCCTCCAGCAGCCAACCAGGTTAACTTGGACAAATTCCGCGCCGGATACACCCAGGCCGCCTACGAGGTCTCCCACATATTCTCCACCGTTCCCGGCCTGGATCTCAAGTTCGGCACCCACCTGATGAAGCAGTTGGGTCACCAGCTCAAGGACATCAAGCAGGAGGAATCCTGCCCCGAAATGGCTGAAGAACCAGTCAATCTAGCCGATCAGAAGCGCTCCAAGTCCCCACAGGAAGAGGATATTCCCCATGGCGAGGATGTCTGGCGTCCCTGGTGAAATGGGCATTCCAAATACACGCAACCAATTAACATTGATAGCTTTACTACTTATGTAGTTTCATTTAGAAACGATCCAAGTTTTCCAAGGTCTAGTGTAAACATTTGCCTCAGAATCGTAATTAGTTGGTAGTTGATTTGATATGATGTGATGTTCCTGTGATAGTTCTTAAGTTCGTATTTTGTATTTGATCTCCCGTAGGTTTAAAGATTCATGTATTTAATTGATTGTAATTTATTTGATCATCTCAACAAAGAGCTTCCCCACCGAGCTTCCACTTAGTTTCATTAAGGAAACACATATTTTTGTATGCTTTAAACTTACATTTTTGCTTTACCACATTTGATATAAGCCATGATACTTGAATAATAAAAAGAACATAAACTGAAATTTCAAGAGTATTAAATTATTTGGAGTATGAAGAATCGAGGGTTGGAATAATCTACTGGTTACTTTTATAGCCGTTTTTAGTGGGAATGTCATCATTGAAGGCAATATTTCAGTAATATATGCCCGGAGTCTTATTGTCAAAGGTTCTTTGTTACAGCTACTCGTTTTCCAATGTGATTTAAATGTTTGATCTATCATTCTTCTATGATTAGAAGTAATAAGCATTGCAAACGTACCAAATCTAGAATTTGTGCTACGTATAATCTGTCACGGAAATATATTTGCAAACTTTCGCATTGCTATTATATTCGGTGTTTGAAGATAATACATATGTCGTAAAAAAATGGCTTAGTATATTCTTTTACCATTTGCAACATATAACCATTAATGCATATTTTACTACATATTTCAAAAGTGTAGAAAAATGATTTTAGAAATCGAAGATATATTTCCTTAATGTGTCGTGCCGTCCAAGCTTTTTTTCTTATGTTGCAAATATTTTTTAGGTAGTTATAAATAGATACTCTAAATACTCAAAAAAAAAAAAATAAACAACATGTTATTTTTAATAGACGATATTTCCAATTATTAACTATTTTTCCGAATATCATGTTCATAAAACTGTATAACCTACTAAGTACTCCAGAAGTAAGCTCCCATTGACTCCACCCCATTCGAAGACCCCACTCGTGTTACAAATCCCCGTCATGCACCATCCATCCATCCATTACAAGGATCCTGGAACGCGAGCAACTTACAGCCGAAAGTGTGTCCACCGCGAGCCACACGCGATGCGAGCAGCGCTCCAGGATCAGCGTCGCTGGCCCCTGTTACATCTGGGAAGGAGGGAGGAGGAGAAGGACTGCAGAGGTCCTGTCGGGTCAGGGGGATCGGTGCATCGCCGAAGTCGAACACACATTAAGCACACTCGACGCACACGAGCAATGTTCCCACAGGATCATAACGGCCGACCAACAAGTGCAGGATGCCTTCGTCCTTGTCTGCGTACCTTCCTCTGCCGCCGAACACGAACCCGATCCAATTTGGAATGCCAACGGTAAACAGGAAGTCGTCGAGGAATCGCAACGCCTTGTCCTTATCCCCATCCCCATCCCCCGGCGGAGGTCCTCGCTATCGTGGGAACCCCAGAGGATCCGTACCCCGATGAGATGGCATAAAGCAGGCAGTTCATTATCCTTGTTCCCCCTGCCCCTGCCATAGTCAAATCATAACACACAAATCTAGAAACGGCAGCTGTTCGCCCTGCAAATTCCCATAGCCATGCTCGGCTGCTTTTGCTTTTTGCGGGCAGGTGAGCGAGGCGATGTGAGAAACCGAGCAGGAAAGTGTTTCCCACGATCCTGCCAGCGATCCTGCTCCCTGGCTCTCGCTTGATAAGGGTGCCGGGGCAACAATAAGAAATCGCCCGAACAATAAGGAGCGGTCTCAAGAAGCGGAAGGGTCTGCATATGAGTATGAACCAACCCTCATTCCAGCACACGAAGCGTGTCGCCATCCCTTTTGCTCCTTTTCCTCGTTCTCCTCCTCAAAATGCCAGCACACACGGTCCCATTCTGGGGGTTGTTTCTGGCCGACTGGCTATATAAGGCAGGGTCCCGAAGGTCTGACAACACACAACGTCTTCGAGCGTCAGAGCAGCCACAGCTCAAAAGAACTCAACTTACACCAAAAAAAATTACAAATAAACTCAAAATGTCGTCGCTACAAATGTCCGAAATGTCCAAGACCTATCAGTACCGCAAGGTGATGAAGCCCATGCTGGAGAGGAAGCGTCGTGCCAGGATCAACAAGTGCCTGGACGAGCTGAAAGATCTGATGGTGGCCACTCTGGAGTCCGAGGGCGAGCATGTCACCCGGTTGGAGAAGGCCGACATCCTGGAGCTGACCGTCACCCACTTGCAGAAGATGAAGCAGCAGCGCCAGCACAAAAGGGCTTCCGGCGATGAGAGCTTGACCCCGGCGGAGGGATTCCGTTCCGGTTACATCCATGCCGTGAACGAGGTCTCCCGATCCCTGTCCCAACTGCCCGGCATGAATGTCAGCCTGGGCACCCAGCTGATGACCCACCTGGGACAGCGCCTCAACCAGATCCAGCCAGCTGAGAAGGAACCCCTGCCCATCAACGCCCCACTCTCCGTGCAGATCGCCACCCGGGATGCCTACTCCGTGCCCATCTCTCCAGTCTCCAGCTTCGCCGGCAGTCCCAACTCCAATGCCAGCTCAGCGGTCAGCCACTCCCTGCTGACCACCATCGACGTGACCAAGATGGAGGACGACAGCGAGGACGAGGAGAACGTCTGGCGTCCCTGGTAGAGAGGATCACCAATATCCCCTCTATAAGAAAAGAACCCAGGAGAGATTATAGAAAGTAAAAGTCTTCCGAGTCGCTGGAGATCCCCCAGTTCCGACTCCCAACCTAGTTTTAAGCAAACACCATACCATACACACACAAAGCTTTAGAAGAGGACGCGCAGTTCATGTGATAAATAAATAATACATTATATAGCTAAAATTGAAAGATCACGACTTTTTCTGCCACTATTTTAGTGAGTAATCATGCAAATTGCTGAGACACTCCCCGTAGCCAAACAGTTCCCAATAATTTGCGGTCTAGAACGGAAATGCTAGCACCTCTGTTTGTCCAACTATTGTAACTAACTCTTCGATCGACCCACGGATGCACAAACAAAAGAAAGCGAAAACAATGCCAAGGCCGAAACAAGAAGAATTAAGAAGAACCCAAAGTCGGGGCTACCGATGGGTATTGGTATGGGTATGGACCCTGCATATAAGGTTGGACCTTTGAACACGTGTGCGGACAATAAGCAAAGGTAACACAAAAAATTAGAGTCTTATCTCAGCGTGTCTAATCGAGTTACGACAATGTCGCTCGGAGTTGGAAGAAAATAAATGGGCATAAAGCCGGGGTGGAACTACGTATCCCAAAAAAGGGATCGAGTCATCATTCATCCCGCATCCATCCTGATTTCGCTTTGTTCTCCTCTTATTCTCCTCGCCGAGATTCTCCCTGGCCACTCGGCTAGAAAATCGTGTGCACAATGGTCAAGGTAAGCTATGGGCACATAATTGCTTCGGATCAGGTAAATGAGTGCCTTGCCCTAGGGCAACTTTAAGATGGAGGAGCCCCCGCCCGGGACAGGATATCGTTTTTTGTTTCTTTTTTATGGGTTCTGCTTAGGGCCTTTTGGGTTGTTTTTTTCCATTTTGGTTTCGATCTTTCGCTTTTTTTGATTTGACTGACCCAGCATCATTTGGTTATCTGTGTGCCAAGACCAGTAGCCGATCCCCAGACGCCTCTGTCTTTAAAATCGACGCAGGGCACAGTCGACGAGGGAATAGTCAACGAGATCGGTATCTCAGGATTGCCTTGGGACTAGCGAAGGCCAGGGCTGCAAGGGTGTAATAAATTCAAAGGAACCAAATTTATAGAGATTTTTCAGTTGATTAAAAATCTGTTGACTTGTTAAGCCGAATGTAGATTATCTCTATAAGATCACCTTCCCAACAGTGTTTAAGTGATTATACTTAATTTTACATTTCCGTCCTTTTAGTGTTTCTGGGGCCAGCAATTATTTATGGAAATGATATTAAAAATGGTGTTTACAATTGAGGTTCCTTTGTCTTCAAGATTTTTAATCAGGTATTAAATGTTATATGGTATCCTGAATGTCCAATTGGTTAAATGCAACGTTCTTCTGCACTTAAATATATTTCTGAAGTCTTGTAGTAGTTGTAATATGGTAATACCTATGTTCCTATATAATTGATCAATTACCAATTCAATGATGCCCTAGTGATCTTTCACTAATACTGTCCTAGATTCCATTAATCATTGACTGGCAATCTCCCCAAGGTCATCTGCTAAAGGGTTTCGATGTCACTTCCACCCCAAGATAACTTTTTACCCTTGAAACAAGGAACACTCCTTAAGAGCCATGCAAAATCTTAGCTCACCTTCAGTCCTTGTCCATCCCTAGATGATCCGATCAGGCGACATAACTGTCGAGTTGACAATAAGAGGACCAACACCAACCCGACCAGACCCAGTTACGCTCGGCTATACTTATAAGTACCATACAATGGGGCAATAAGAAAAATACGGCCACAGGGATATGCAGGGGAATCGCACCCAAAATGCCAAAAGGAAATGCTGGCACAAAAGATACTTAATCTTATAGGTAAACCCGATGAATGATGAACGAATGGCGGCGACGTAACCGAACCCCCGATACAGCAATCCAGCAATCCGGCGATCGAGCTCGAACGCAAGCCCAAGTCATTAAAAACTACAATACACAAACTGCATACGAATCACTCGAACGAAGACTGAGGCCCAAAGAAAGGGTCTTTCAAAGGTAGGGAGGGGAAGGGACTGAGGACAGAGGACTGAAGACCGGGACCAGAAAAAAAAGAAATATCAGAAGCGAAGATCGTGAGAAAATGGTTTGGAACGTGGTTCTCACACGATCGACACACCTGCCCTTTTTATGTGTGTGTGTTGGGCCTCCTATGTCTGTGTACTTTTACGAATTCAAGATACAAGACCACTTACGGGCAAGATCACGACCGACTCGAGCTGCGGCCATAGGTATGACTATGGCTATATGGCTATGGATCGACATGAAAGAGAAAAGCAGCGTGCGGTAAGTGTGTCTCAGTCGAATCCTCAGCTCAGCTTCAGCTTCAGCCTCAACTTTTGTGCATTGGCCAACATCCAACATTGTAATGACTGTGGACACACGATCGTTAAGAGCGCGCCGTGTGATCTGGGAAGGGGCGGGGGAACGGGGTTCCTGAGGCTTCCAGGGGGTACAAGTACGACTATGAGTTCGGGTTCGGCGCATGCGTCGCTGTTTTGTTGAACGAACTCAATTTAGTTGGTTTATGACCAAAAGGCGAGAGCGAGCGGGATGCAAGAGGAGATCGGTTATGGAGATCGGAGTGGGAGATGGTCGTCGGTTTGGGTTGGGGAGTTTCGACCGATGGACCGATGGAGCGCTGGAGAGGCACCCAACCACACTTATATGGTGTGCTATTGACTCTGTAATATCTTTAATATGGGATGTTGTTACACTACATTGGCACACGCTCTTGCTGCCACTGGACAAGCTGCCCACAGGTTGTGTTTGTATGGGATCGTATGGGAATGGGACTGGGGATGGATGAGGTGGCTGCTGGCGGGTCTGGAGATCGAGGCACGAGTGCCGACTCCATCCCAATCCCATACCATCCTCCAACCAGGCCGGTTTGCCGCCGCCTCTCCTTTATTAAGTGGTGGTCTTGCGCTTACTTTAATATGGTTGCATTAAACCTTAGCGGCGTGCGGAGTATTATGACTGAAGTAGGTGGCCGGACCCGCGGTGCTTGAGATGCTATATGGGGGCCCACCGACACACAGAGGTCACGTGATGGATGACGTGTGGGCTCTACTGTACCTCCTGTCACGGGCTTTGAAATGGGTTGGGTGGGGTTCGAGACACGGAAAGAGATCATTTAACAACAAAAATAAATAAATACAGAAAAAATATTAATTAATAAAAGTAATAAGAAAATAATATAATAACATATTAATGTCATTAGCACTTTCTTTGCATGTATTAAATATTTTATTTCTCGAAGGAAAGTGAGAGGGATTGATATAGACAAGTAACCAACAACGTTAAAACCCTTCAAGTAATCCAACTACGAAATATGATTCACTATTAATATTTTTTATTATGATCATTCGAGTATTAGGTAGATGTGATATATGAGGCTCTTAAGTCATCAAAGATCATACTCATTAAGCTCTCAGGGGTGACGCACGTTTCGGCAGAAAACAAAAGCCCAAGCCACAGACAGGTTCAATGGGAACCCCTTTAGATAGGTTTCACAAACTAAGCCAAAGCCCCTGGCTATGGCCTACACGGCCGTACTCAGTCGATCACAAAGTGAACAGATTGCTGTTCAACTGGACCATCGCGAAATAGATCACCCATTTCTGTAGACTACCGTTGAGCCCTATAAATAGCCGTTTTGTAGCCCAAAACAGAACAGAGAAGCGCTAAAAACCCCGTCTCGATGCCAAAGTTACGTGACTAATCACATTTTCTGAAGATTAACAGCAATCAGCGACGGCTTGAACGGTCCCAGACTCGAGACGACCCGGTAAGTAGTCATCATCATAGTTGTCGCTGTCCACCAGACAAAGGCGCATGGATCCGAGGTTCCGTAATCGAACCGCACTCCGAAACATATACCCATACCCCTCCGAAGTTTTAAGACTTAAGTGCCGAGACGGTCGCGGTCGCGGGCTTAATTTGCAATGTCTGACCGCCGGTCCGCGCATGTGCCAAGCGGTCAAGCGCAGTTAAGGCTGTCAAAGCCTGGACAAAAAAAAATATCTAAAACAGAAAAAAAACCAAAACACAATGACCACAATGCTGAGCCATTGACAGCGGAGCCGCGGTTCTCACACTCGACGGGCCTCATAATAAATGACGTTTCCTAGAACTGACTTTTTGCTTTATTTTATTATTTAATTGCGACAGCAGCGACAGCGCCGGCGCAAAAGTTCCCGCAGATATAGCATACGTATGTATGTATACCCCTCGAGAGCCCCGCATGCCCATGGAATTCGAATTCTCGGGGCATAATGAGGCCAACTCACAGAGTCCGAGACCGAGTGTGGGAAAATATTCAGCGACTTCCGGCTGTGGGCTCTGCGATTCGGTTCGCCATGGAGTTTATCTTTAATTCGTTTCTTGTTTTAGGGGCTTTTTATTTTGTACTTTGCGCTTGGACGCCTACTAAGTGTCTGGGAAGTCTGAGTAATGTACTAGAAATGATAAAGCAGGGGTTCTTAAGTTGGAATTTCATTTATTTTCATTTTCAGTTGTAGTTCAGGTTTTTTTTTTTAGTTTTTCAATAGGTAAGCAGCAATCTCTATAGCCGGAATTTGAGGCTCTGCTAGAGATGGGTGATCCTGCTGGGGGCTGCTGGGAAAGCTAGTCCTGGGCAGCAATTGAGGGGCTCCAAAGTCTTCGGTGCGGTTTTCATTCCAGCACCTTTTGGGGCAACGATTTGTAGAAGCCTTCCGCTTGAAGGCGATCCAGGTGAAGATCATCTGGGGTCCAGAGCTCACCAGGGACGCCACATGGGACCGGAGGCGCTGGAGCTGGCCTCACTGGGCGCCGGGCTGCAGGCTCCGCTCTCCAAGCTGCCGCATTCCGAGGGCGGTGGGGTGACCATGACCTGATCCTCTTGAGGAGCCTGAAGAGGCACTCCGATGGGCAGCGAGGGAACCACCACTTGCAGGTAGTTGAGGCGATGACCCAGGTGACTCATCAGCTGGGTGCCGAGATCCACACTCACGCCGGGCACGGCAGCCAGCGTTTTGGACACTTCATTGGCGGCATGAACATAGCCCGCACGGAAACTCTCGGCAATGCTGAGCTTGGGATCCTGAGATCCCGAGGAACCGCCACTGGAGACACTGGACAGACGCAGTTGCTTCTGGGCGCGCAGCTTCTTCATGTGCTCCACGGTGAGCTCCAGGATGTCGGCCTTCTCCAGCCGGGTGATGTGCTCGCCCTCCTGGGTGAGGCACTCCACCATGATGTCCTTCAGCTCGTCCAGGCATTTGTTGATCCTGGCACGGCGCTTCCTCTCCAGCATGGGCTTCATCACCTTGCGGTACTGATAGGTCTTGGACATCTCCATCTCCAGAACCATTTTAATGGGATTTTTATATAGTTGGTAGTTGAGTGAGGTGAAGTAAACTCGCGTAATCCACAGTCGCAGAGATATTACTATGAGAGAGACTACTACTCTGTGTGCACGCAACGAAGTCGGAGCTTTGAATGAGTCGGCTGGCTGTGGGATCGGCTTTATATAGCCTCTGCCCGTGTAAGATCCGAGCAGTGAGTGCGAGCGGGACACTCATTTTGCCTCGTGCGCGGCCTGCTGCTGTTGCCAGCGGTGGTTTCAGATGGTTCGGTGGTTCGTAGTGCCCATGCTGGTGGTGGTGGCTTCTGTTTTTTTGTATACTTTTGTATGGTATGGTATGGTATATGTGAGGGCAATAAAATGACTTGAGCGGGCTGCGCCTTCTCTCTCTCTATCTTACCCACTCCATCCCTCTTTATATATGTGTTGTGATTGTTATACCGTGGGAAACTGTTTCGCAGCCGATTTCCACGACGACGACGGCTGGCCTGACTTCTTCTGATTGTGCATGCTTGGGGTCTTGTACGATCCCTCGTCCGTCTTTGAGTCTTTCTGGGACAGACGGACGGATGGACAGACCGACCGACCGACCGCCTTTAAGAGGTCTGTGCGACTTGGGATCCCAGATACGATGCGAGGCGAGCACATGCCTTCCATCCATAACAAGATGTTTGCATTTCAATTCATTTGTATGGTCGGTCCATAGCCGAAGTCGGGGTCCGGTCTTTTGGGCTTCAATTCGGTGCGGTTCAAGTCTTGCCATGTGCCTTCACCCTTTTGCTTTTGCAGTCAGTAGCTTATGGCACGCTGATAATTGTGGAATCGTCATCGGGGACTGGGGCTGAGACTGGGAATGGGTCTGGGGCTGGGCCAGCTACATATAGCTATCGTCTCTGGGTTTCTTGCTTTTTTGTTAGCGCTTTATGGATCATTGATTGGATCGTGGTAGTCGTGGGTTTCGTGGGACGAGCATTACGCTTTTCGTTTACATGATTATTCTTGATTGTCGGTTGGGGATTGGGATTGGGATCCAGTACGGGGGTATCTTGGGTCGTCGCTCGCTTCTATTTGTAGACAATTACCATCTCGGCTTGGGAACCCGGGATCTTCGATCTTGGCAACTTGGGAACCGATCGAAATCGACGTGTGCTCGAAAGTCGGTTACAATCGTTATGGTTGTTGCCAGCACACGCTATAAATGCCATGGCTCGTGTGGGTTAAACGCGATATATATTTAGCACTTTCGGTATTTATTTTTAGCGCTAAGTCGTATTGTATCGCCGTGATTCATCAGCCTGGGATGCTAGATCCCCATCCGCCGGCATATGATACATCTGAGCTATCTGACACATCAGCTCTCTCGGCCAAAGCTCAGGTTTCACCATATTTAATTAGAAGTGCCGGCGACGATGACGATCGTTGAAAATGACACGAGCCCGGCTCATTGGCACACAAATAAGAAATAACAAAAGGCCAGCTACTCACTGTATAAACCACACTCAAATAAGACAAATTAAGATTGCCCCTCGACGCATTCGAAATGAGCTACAGTTAGCCGAAACAAAACAGCAACGGCGATAAACGGGCCAACACAATCAGTTAACATTAACAACTTATCTAAGCAAAACGTTTTGTTTTTTTGTCCGCTGGACCGGGACAGTTAAACTGTGGATGACAAAAAGCTGAATGCTCCGGAAATTGCTAATTGGGTTTTATGGGTCGGGAGGATTTTATGGGTGGTAAATGCACTTTTGGGGTGGGTTTTCCATAATATTTTGCAATGTCCCATTAAAGATAATTTCTTATTGGATTAATGGGAATACGTGCTATAAAAATATTTATATACTCTGAATATACGACCCTTAATCCTTAAAACAAAGGAGATTCTAATACTTGGCATGTTTTTAGAATATTCTTACAGTTTTTTTTATATAAAGTTATAAATAAATTGTGTAGTTCCCATTTTTCCAGTAAGTACCTGTAATGAATGTTCGTAATACAAGTGTTGGTTGGATAATTTATAAATATTGCTCAAACGATTACTTAATAGATTTCTGTAATTTAATCAAAGAGCAACAAATGGCCTCCATTATTTTCCAGACATTGATCCGGGGTATTATATAACCCAGCACTACGTACTACTAACGTTATTAAAATTAATTGACTTAACAACAAATTAAAAAATACATTTATGAGGGTATCACATACAATTTAAATAGTCAAAAATATCAAAATTCCTTGTAAACACTTAATAAATGCCCAAGCGTGTTCCTGAATGATTTTTCCAGCTTAACAAGTTCTGAATAACCTTCGTAATTCGTATTATTAATACCAATTGCAGCAATTAGGAAAATCAGTGGACAGGCACGTGCCCTTAATAGATTAAATCAAGCGTGGCCTTATGATTTGAAATGCAAAAACCCAATCTGCTGGTTCAAAATTCCTAAACACAAATTCCTAACAACATTATCAGGAGCACAATAAGGAAGTGCCGGCAATCGTGAATCACTTGTGAAATTTCATCAGATTCTGCAATACTCGATGGGGTGTAGCGCATGTGCCCAAGTCGCTTAAGACTGGCCTTTATACACCCAATCATCCGAAGAAATAAACACACATACCCAAAGACGTACATATATATCTCGAAAGACCTCATTTCTCTCGCTTTATTATTTCTCTTGGTTGCTTTTTTGTTAAACCATTTTTATTTTTTTTATCGATGGCATACGCACGCGCGAATTTCAGTGCCCCCGCGGAGTCGGGCGATTGCCCAGAGGGGGCGGAGCGGTACAGGGGGGCGGGGCACGAGAGCGTGCAAAACTTGGAGACCGGAGACCGGAGATCGGAGACCCAGAGCAACAACACCAGCGTATGTATGGCCATAGCGTGTTGTTGAATTAATTTATATCCAACAGTGCGCTTTCAACTTTATTGCGCCGCGAAAAGCAGCCAGCCAAGTCAGCAGTCGTCGGTGGGTCCCCCCCTGGAAGACCCCCCCTGAAAGACCCCTCGAAAGCCCCCGCAAACCCACAGATACACCAGCTCACAGATACAACGCACACCAGCGCAACGCCAGACCGTGGGAAACAAACTCGTGCCAGTCGTTTCATTGCTGTCAAATAATATCTTGATGGGGATCAACTTGAAAAGATTGGTTGGGGCTTGGGCCCGAGCTCAGGCCGCCGTCGGTCCGGGTCCCCCGTCTCTTTGGCCCCCTCCCCTGCTCCGCCGCCTCTGACGGTTGCCGCTGTTTAGGATGCGGTCGACGCTTTTGTTTTTTTACCCAGCTTTTCTCATTTTTTTCGTATTTTTTAGATCTCTTTTTTAATGCTTTACACATTTGTTCGTCATAGCCGAGCGTTAAGTATGTGTGTCCATATGGGCACTCGAAAAAAAGGGTTATAGGTCGGGGGTTTTTGTACTTGTGATTATAGGAATTTCAAATATTACTCAGAAGTACAAGTTTGGATTAGAATGAAATAAGTAAAGTTTATCATTATCATAGTAACTATGATACATATTGATATTGTATTTAATAACGTTTTTAATTTATTTCTAGAAGACTAGGTCATTTTCGTAATACTTCGTTTTTCATCGTTAACTACTATAAGTATGCAAAAATGGAAAATCAGGTTCCAAGATATATCTCTGAAAATCAAATATAGCTAGAATTTGGATTATATCGTTCCGTTTAGGATTTAATATGAATTGATGTTTAGTATATTATTTTTTTAGCCAGTGGTTTCATCATCCTTGAAAAGGTTTGCTTTTCAGTGTACCCATGCTGGCATTGGCATCTCTCGTGGTGTATGTAAAGATCCAAAAAGCCAGAAACCAGTTTGCCATCCGCCAAAGCCAGTGGACTCTGCTCTGTGGCTGCTGGGATGCCGACACATACTCCGTTCGGAGATCACATAAAAGACCCGGCACACCTCCTACTGCAGCCTCAGAGCCCCCTCCCCCCGGGTCCCCTCCCGAATCTCCTCGCCCCCCACTTAACCACCGGGTTGTGAATGGCTCCTCCGCCTGCTTTTATGCACTGTTTGTTGTGTATACACGGTCGGGCACTTGGCACGTTGCCCATTATCTCTCGGCGACTCAAACTCAAACTGGAACTGAGGCTGAGGCTGTGGCTTTTATTTTTTGTAAAGATTTCGAGTGCATATATCATATTACCACCACCAGCAGGCAGAGATGCATCATCATCGTTCCCGGCCTCCGCCAAGTGTAAACTGTCAATGGCCCCTTGACAGGAGGCCCCCAGATAGTGGGATCGATCCCCCCAAAAGACTCCCACTTTGCGACTGGGATCTTCACTGTTTCTCTTCTTTTCCCATAAACACCACAGTCAGCTAGTCTTGGCAGGGGGTGCAATCTGAACGATCCATTAGTGGCACTGATAAAAAACAACGAACCATTAAACAGGATCCCCATCCCCAGTCATTAAAACGTATCTTCAAGTACGCGTTCGTATCTCGCCCTCAGCTCGCTTTGCACACACTTTCTCCCTGCGCCTTATCGAGGGTATAATTCCTATCCTATCTGCCCGAAAGAAACCCTCCCTATCGCTCCACACTTTCAGCACACTTGGGCCGCAAGAAAGGAATTAATTAAAATATCTATAAGATTCCCAGCTCACCCCTGGGGAGTGTTTCCCAAATTGAAGACAAGTGGCAGGACCGTATTTTATTGGTGGTGGTTTCGGTTTCGGTTGTGAGTGCATCGAGCTCTGTGGGAAAGTTGGAAATCAGAATCAAAACACCATAACAAGTGATTCGAGATGCCTATACAAATAGCAGATATGCAACCCCAAGTTCTGTTATTCTCCCTTTTATACGCACATATATTTGAAACCAGAACCAGGACGAATAAATGTGTGGGAATGCGTGGGAATGGTCCTGGGGTCCTTTCTGTTTCGAAGACCCAGAAAGGGTCCCCTATCCCTCGGCCTTTATGTTGATTGCCCATTAGGAATACAATTTGCAACTCCTTTTCCATGATGTGATCCTGGGCTTCCTTCGGTGTCGTGAGAAATTTTACCAAGGAACACCTGCCCCGTGTCGGTGTGTCCTGAATTACCAGAGTGTTGGTGATTTTTTCAGCTCCTCTCGGGGATTTCTCGGGGCACTTGAATACGTTTCCGAAAATTTTGAGGCCAACGAAAAATTGTTTCCCACACTCGTCGGACAGTTGCAGTTTTTGTAGGGGTTTGTTTCCTTCGGATGATGCACTCTTCTTGCGTCTCTCCTCTTCTCTTCTACCTGCTCCCGAACCGAAACTTCCCCCGGCTCCTGGTGAGCGTCGTATTTCAGGTTCTCCGCCCCGATTATCTTCGGTCTTTGAGGGCGAGGGTCTCTGGGCTCCGGTCTCCGGTCTCCCGTCTGCGGTCTCTGTTTGTATTTCCCTCCCTTTCTGCGGTGCGTGTCTTCGCCAGGGGTCCGTTCTCCCCTCTCTTTCCCTCGAGCGCACAGGAAATGCACTTCGGCTATAAAAGCCGTCCGTTTGCCGGTTGGGAAATCATTCTGACATCGTCAGCCTTTCAAGCAACACACGCACTCAGCACACTCAAATACATACATTTTCCAAACCCAAAATGTGCCAACAAGTCGTCGTCGTCGCCACCACCAACAACAAGATGAAGACCAGCTACAGCATCAAGCAGGTCTTGAAGACACTCTTCAAGAAGCAACAGAAGCAGCAGAAGCCTCAGGGCTCGCTGGAATCCCTAGAATCTGTCGACAATCTGCGCAACGCCCAAGTCGAGGAGGCCTACTATGCCGAGATCGATGAGAACGCCGCCAACGAGAAGCTGGCCCAATTGGCCCACTCCCAGGAGTTCGAGATTGCCGAGGAGGAGGAACAGGAGGACGACGTCTATGTCCCAGTTCGCTTCGCTCGCACCACCGCCGGCACCTTCTTCTGGACCACCAACCTCCAGCCAGTCGCCAGCGTTGAGCCCGCCATGTGCTACTCCATGCAGTTCCAGGATCGTTGGGCCCAGGCTTAGAAACCCAGAAACCATCTAGCCTTCAACCCTTCAATCTTCAAGCTTTAAGAACTCTACAAACATTGTGATAGCACCAGCGGCTTTAACTCCACTACAATCTCGGCGATCCAGCGCTTCCATTAGTTATTAAGATATTGTGATAGACAAAAAAAGAGAGCTTTAAAACAAACGTACAAAATACAAAACAAGAAATATCAAAATCAAATTCATTCATCTTATTATTGGTCGAGGGGTTTTGGGTCTCAGCATAAAAAAAGGAAACACTGCAGTTATCTTTTCTCAGATTGTTATGATTCGTCGGGCATTCCATGCGAATGAATCGCTTGTTGTCCTATACCAAATATTGTTCTGGAAGTCAACGTGCCAGATAAGAGCAACTACTCGAACAGATATCATTTCGAGGTTTTTCCAGAGTATGATAAAAGGAGAGAAACCACTTGAATTACTTGCCATAAAGTTACTTTGTTATGATTTCGGGGAAGTTGGCTGAGTAAGAGTTAAGAAATGGAATGGAAATAGAACACACAATTGAAGAAGCAATTTCTTTTTATAAATATTACTGTATAAACAATATATTATGACAACTGCGTCAACATGTTTACCTTTAATTTCTTAGAAAAGGATAAAGGGTTTTGAAACATGAAATTTTCGCCAAATTTGAATTCTGATTTGATTTCTGTAAATTTGTTTGGGTAAGAGTTACTTTACCTGTAAGAATTGTAAATATGCATTTTTTAAACTATTCATAAAAGGTATTTCTCAAATATCTTTGGTAAAATCGAGTTCCTGGATAAGGATAAATATACCAATATTTGGAAGTTTATTAAAGCATATTATCTATACTGTGTTAAACTAGAAACTATCATAGGATATAATACTTATCTTGGCATCTGTTGCAATCCAGTTTATTGGAATCTTAGAAAATATGTAGTAATTGACTTGGGTACAATAAAAATACACCTCTAACTGGGTCAGTAAAGACTCTAGCACATCCTGCAAGAAAGCCAGCCCACACTCCACAAGAAAGTCAATTCCTGGGATAGTTCTGTCCCAAAATGGACAACCTTGTGGCCAGCCTTGTCTTGTTGCCATTGTGGCCAGAAGGTGTGATGTGCTCGCACTCCGGAGAGATGGCCGAGAGCCAAGTTGGCCAAGAGCCAAGTGTTATGGCTATCACCTTGGCTAAGGCCACCATCGCCACCTGTGTGCGACCAAATATGGATGTCGTGCGCATAACTTCACGGCAGCTCCTGGCAAACGGGCTGGTTGTCGCTTGTCGTACAACTTATTTATGAGTCGGCGAGGGAGTGGAGAAAGGCCAGAAAGCGGGGAAAACCCCAAGAAAGATCCCAGAACGAGGAACGAAGAACCACGAACCAAACACCGCACACCAAAAACCACAATTAAAATGCAACATGTAGACGTCAACACCTCAAGACATCGAATCACATGCCAAGGCGTCTCAAGGCGGACGTTGAAATTGGGCATAAAAACGGTTGCCGCAAAAAGATAATCGCCTTGGCTAGGGAATCGGAGAATCAAAATCCGACGCAGGTCCCTCACACGATTCCCACTCTTTCACACACTCTGTCCGTCCCGCTCTATCAATCTCAAACGCATTTCTCCTACACTAAAAATGCAAATTGATGTCGACAGCAGGGAAGGAGCCAGCGAAGGAGTTGGAAAAAGTAAAGAAAATGAATAACAACATGAATAACCAGAAAGATCGAGAACGATTCGAAATTATACGAGACCATAAATACTCTTTTTTTAATTTAAGGAAATTCTAGTTATGTCTAACTTGCTTAAAGCTCCTAAAACTTAAAGAAACTTATTGATTGCATTGGGTAGAAATATTTACATAAAAAAATCCACTAGATAAACTATCATAAGGTTATATTTGATACTTTAAGAATATATATTATTTGAGGTATCCGGCAAATAATAATAATGTATTAATTAATCCTTTTATGTTTCAATACCAATAACCATTTGGAAGAACATGGTAAAACTGTAGTATGGTATTACCAATGCAATAAGGAACTCTCCTTTCTCAAACCCCCCGTAAATGTTATAATACCCTTTCGCAAGGGAATACCAAACTTCTGGTAGCGCCGTGACGTAAATTAAGTAGCAATATAAGTTTCTGTTAAATTGCCTTTGACAGCACATAATTAATTTCGTATGCAAAGCAAGGCTTGTCTGCACGAAAGAATTGAAAATTGGAAGAAAGAACCCATCATGGAATGCCGTTGATAATGCTGATGACACTGTTCATGTCGATGGCGATGGCGATGATAGCGATGAGTCCGGGGGACTGCGACTGAATCGTAGCCCCGATGGCTATCTCGGATGGGTTGTGCCTCATTTGCATACCTGTGCACTGAGACCGAAACAACCTGATCCTGCGCTTGCTTTTGGATCTGGGATTGGAATTGGGATTGGGTTGTGCCTCGTAGTCTTCGGTCTTCAGAGATGGGTTTAATGGACGCGTGTGTACCCAATTCTCGCCGACGATGACCAGCGGAGCGGCCTTCGCGTGCGTGACGAGCATTCGCTTAGCGGTCATTGATTGGCCAGGCCTGTTGGTTCGTCTGTTGGCTTGTTGGTTTTGGCCAGGTCTATGGAGGGCGCCGTCAGCAACAAGTGTGTGAACACCATTAAACGGTGATTAGGCCCGGCCACCAAGCTCCCTTGGCCACCACCAAGATTGCCAGCGGAGATCGGGATTCCCCACCTCCTCTCCGTCATTTGTGTGTGGCGCGTCGAGAGGCCTCAATTACCATTGTGCCCCATGGAGATCGGCAGTTGCGATGAACTGTGCAACCATGTGGGCGGTCAGAATGTTGTAACCGAATTAGACCGGCGATCGAAATGTGTGGAGAGATCCACGATCATTTGTCAAAACGTCTGGAAGTGAAGGGGATGGGGGTTTTTTGGGACTCGGGTTTTGTAAACTATTCGACAATGAGCGTAGAATAGTGTTGTATCACTTCTTAACCTTTTTAGCGCATAAACCCATTAATTTATTTGGTCATCATTAATTTGTAATTTTAAATCCGCATTAAAAAGAAAGAATTACCTCAAAGTGAGCTTAAGAAATTTATGACAACTAACATTTCCATGTCTCCATTAAGTTAAGTTAAATATAAAAGTTTGATAACTGAATCACGCAATTTATAACACTTTATTAGACAGATAGACAGCATGTAATTACAACCTAAATAGCGCAATCAGAACTCTTGAAAGAAAGAAAGACAATCAAAACATCCGTTAGTTTGATAAAAATAAAAAAAATATCACTCAGGTTCCAGAAAAACAAAAGTCATCTCCCTAAAAAAGTTACCTCAACTTGGAAATCTGTAAACAAAGTTATCACAAGCACAGCCATGAATACAACATAGAACACTATACTTCCCCGATAATATCAATATGTTCAGACAGAAACGGTGTTATATCTGATAAACAAGATAATAACAGAAACTTTGATGATGCTGTTTTGAAAACAACATTTTACTCAGACTGCAGACAAGCCAATTGAAAAATGGAGAAAGGTCGAGAAGAGAAACTAACTTAAGATTGTCTTCGTTTTTATGCTCTCACAGTAAAAAGAACCAAAAAAATTTATTGGTTATAGGTTTTGACAGAAATAGTATGATAAAGCAAATAAAAAGTAAATTACATAAGTAAAGTAAATACGTGTTATTTTTATTGAATACAATGGCCTCTAGATATCTATTAATAATCCGAACATACCTTGATCATGATGAAGAAAAAAATCTATTGTTTCTTCTTCTGGTAAAAATAAGTATACCCCGTGTAAGGGTATAAACGTAGTTAGTCACCTAAACAGAGTCGGAACTTTGTAGAACTTTGTAGACCGCATAAACGAGTTTTTGTTTGGGTCGCTGATAAGGGGCCCGGTCTTATCAGCACTCTATAACTGATACACTATCTACTAGTAGCTATAGAGAGTCATAAAAATATATAAAAATCAATGAAAGTTAGACAGTCACGGCAATTGAAATCGATAGCTACTACAGAAAGAACGCATTCGTTGGTAAAAACCCAACATACCCAAAAAACCTAAGCTAGAACAACCTCAAAATGATGAGACAAGCTTTGACTATTTGCTGCCTGGTTTTGGTGGCATCCGTGTACGGAAACACAGTATCCACCAATGATACTGCCTGTCCTGTTATGTGTCCCAGCATATATAAGCCAATTTGCGGAACTGATGGCCAGAACTTCAAGGAGTTTGCAAGCGACTGCAACCTGTTGTCCCATAATTGTCGCCGCGAAAGGAACAGCCTGCAGGGTGAGTAAAAACCGAAATTAGCTTAGAACCCAATCTATAATATCTATATATTCCCGTAGTCTATGCTGCCACCGATGCCGCCTGGTGCAGCTCCGAGTTCGTCGAGAATCTGCACGAGAGGCTGGGCAACTTCAAGCTGGAGGTCCAGGAGTGCTTCAAGCCCTGCTCGATGATCTACCAGCCGGTGTGCATCACCAATGGCAAGTACCGCGCCGAGCTGGCCAACTCCTGCCTGCTGGAGACCTTCAACTGCGCCCTGCAGGTCTCCGGCGCCCAGCCCGCTGAGCTCTTCCGCCTTTTGCGCGAGCAGAAATGCTAGACGGGATCGCAATGGTCGTAAAGTCGGAACAATACACTGGACCATCTTGTGTTTGAAATAGCCATCCTTTTGTTTCGAACAAGAAAATATAATCCTACGAATTTATGAGACACGAGTAAACGAGTTGTTAATTAGGGTGCTCACAGTGGGTGGGTACCGAAAGTGAAATGCATTTTCAGCACGAGCAGTTGTTATAATTTGACATGGTCTGCACTGCCGTTATTTATCTAAAAAGGTATCGAAGTTAGTTTGAAAATGTTAATTTTATTTGGATACAAATATGTATTTCCTGTTGGCTATCAACATTTCATGTTTTCTTTAAAATCCCTTATCAAGCCGTTTAACCACAAGGGTTCCCTGCCACAAAATCTAAATGGTTGGTTCTTATTACCAAACTTCGGGATAATAATATATAACCACAAGCTTTATCACCACCTACCTACTCTGGTGTTATAGTCAGTTCCACTGATAACGTTTGGGTTTTTTCTATAAATTTGGGTTACAATTAAGTATTGACACTTGCGAAGACTTAATTCTTCCAGTGAAGTTTTCATAGCGAGTTCCTTTTGGGGTCTATAAGAAGTGCAAACTTAATGACTCCCCATATCCTTTCACAACTCATTGACTTGAGTCACTAATGAAGGGCATTAACACAGGATACAAGTGTTCAGATTAACCTTTGCAATAACCCTTAATTCTTATACGTATAGTCTGGTAGCATCGACGAGACATTTACTGCAAGATGATACCAGTTTGCACATCCTCCCCATCTCCTTTCATCTTCCTTTTATCAGTTTAACAACCCGTCTTTGCAGACCGCTCATCTGTCAGGCCTCATTAGGTTCCACTCATAACACTGCTTCCGTTATCCTTTGCTCTCATCTTCGTTCTTCCGTTATGCCAGTATTCTAAAAGATCGGGTTCTCACTCAGATCCCCAATGATGATAGTACAGAATAGGTGTCTTGTTTAATTTTTTGCTGATGAAGATGATCAGTCAGAAGAAGGTTTTACCTTTATCAAGTATTATCTATCTGTAATTGATTTCTTTAGTTCTAGAATTCGATGATAAACACACTTCAAGCCCTTTAAGATTATACAGAATAATATTTTCAAACAAGAAACCTTCCATTGGGTTAAAAGGTCCAAGTTGTACATTGAACAACAAAACGCATTAAAAATTCCCATAAAACTGGGACCCCAAACATAATGGTTTTCCATATCGGGAAGGTTCTTTCCCTCAGAACCCCAAACAAGTAATAAAACGTTTCCTTTTCTTCTTATTTCCATTTGTATGGTACAAATTGAGTGTTTATATTTTATTTTATATGCAAATTAGTATCACATTAACAACGTAAATATTGCGCAGGGGAATAAATAAATGAAATTACAATAATAAGGGGTATGACCCCCGGTGAGCTTGAGATCTGTTTAGTGATGGGGGTAATGAGGTGTTTCTGTGGGTGTACTAAAACTAACAGAGGGTTCCGGGAAGCTGACTGAAGCTCTGGCAGAGCAGGGCGTGCAGGAGATCATCGTCCACCCGATCTTGGGTGTTGGCCCAAAAGAAGGTGCCATTGTCGGTGCTGATGTACTGGAGGGGCAACTGCAGATCCCAGAGATTGCTGGGCAACTGTGTTGCATTCGTATTTGCGCTGCTGGTGCTGATGTTGCTGCTGTTGATGTTGCTGTTGCTGTTGCTGATGTTGATGTTGCTGCTGCTGTGATGTCTGTGCTGACAGTTGCGTCCGTGCTGGCAGTTCCCGCAGCTCTGGGCACTGACCTTGTCCACATAAACGCTGCTAATCAGGGTGGGCGTGTTGGGGGGCTGGGTGAGGGACACCTCCTCCTCCTGCTCCTCCGGCAGTTGTCTCAGTTCCAGTCCATACTTGTGAATAGTCTCCTCTGGCGTGGTCTTAGCCTCTTCCTCCACAGGCAACTCAAGTGACTGCTGCTGTGTGTTGTTGAGATCCACGTTGTTGGGATGGGCCAAGGTCAGCTGGGCGGTGCGACCTTTGCCGCCCACTTTCAGCAGGCGACGCAGTGGCTGCCAAACGTTGCGCATGCGCCGTGTGGCCTTTGAGTTCGCTGGTGCGGCCGCTGTCAAAGCTGCCGTGTTGCCGGTTGTCATGTTTTTCGTATCCAGATACATGTTGCTTGCGGAGCTTTTCCTTGTGTTTTCTTGTAAAAATTATATTTTTCGTATCTAGACAGCGAGCGTTGCGTGTGCGCACCTCGCGAGAGTTGGTCGTTTACTGATGCTGCTGCGCCGGCGTCGCTCATATTTATATATGAGGCCAAGTTGCTGCGCTGCCGATGGCCAGTCAAGAGTGAAATCGTACGCCGGCTGATCTCACGAGCGGCTATAACCCAAGCACCGTACGAAATTTGAGTGCACTCTCACACACAGCCAACCCAGGGTGAGAGGTGAACCCACTGGAGGAGGGGTGCTCGCCGAGGTAAAGGCCTTTTTATGTGCGCGTATTTCCCAAATAAATTCCAACAGGAATCCACAAGCTCCGGTCTTCTGTGTGTGTACTTTTCCCATGCACGTACAATCGACAAGGGCCGCTTGATGAGTTTTGGCTGCAGGTAGATGAAGACGACGCTGCCGCACAGTGGCACACAATCAATGTATGTATTGAAAAAAATCTTTAAAAAATATATAAATTCCTAAGATTGATTTCATCTTTATTAGATAATCTAAATCAATGTATTTCAAATATTTTAAAGTAAAAATAATAAAACGGTTTTAATTAAAGAACTTTGTTTAGTTTTGTCTAAGAAACTTGAGTAGGTACGTTAAAGTAACCTTAACCGTACAAAAAGAAGAAGAACTTTTTACAAAAGTCTTATGAAGTCTGGAGAGTTTTTATAAAAAGTGGTATATAGTTATGTTTATAAAATAATTTCTATGTTTAAATGCCTAGTACTTATGTTCTATAGGTATTACCGTTTTATAATTTAATGTTGTATCTTATTTTCCTAATAGATGGTAATTCCGAACCACTGTGTGCATCGCCTGTTCGTCATTTATGCACGACTGACTTTGTTTTCACATTCACACGGTACCCAGAGCCCGGAGCCCAGTAGTACATGGGTTGTTGTCCGGTCTGCAGGCTTCAGGGTTCGGGGTTCGGGATTTCGGGGGAGATGGATATGGCTGGTGGAGGAGGAGGGGCTAGGGCTCGCCACAGTGCCGTAGTCGAAGGGGCACGAACAGCACCTGTTCTTGTGTTCCTCCTTCTGCGAGCGTGGGACTAAGACGCTGGGCATTTCCGTCCTGGGGAACTGAACTGAACTGAACTGGCAATCGAAATAAGGCAAAGGCAAAAGGCGCAGGCGTCGCCGTTGTTTCGATGTCGATGTCTTCGAGTGTGGGAAAGGGCTTATAAGAATTTCACTTGGTTTTTTCGGCTTTTTCGGGGCATTGGGCATTGCTATTGTTGTTGCTGCTGACGACGCTGTTATTTCTGTTTCCTTTCGATGTGATTTTTGTTTCGGGCTGAGCTGAGCAGCTGTTATTGCTACTTGTTGGCCTGTTTGTTGTCATTTATAATCAAGGCTCGCAGAGCCCGGCGCTGATAAGTTCATTTTAAAAAGGGACTAGTCGCAACGAGGGGATTATGACATGTTGTGGTTCACACGCTCTGGTAACTGGGAACTGGGAACGGAAAACGGGATGGGAATGGGATTTAAGTAGGGGTATGGCGTGCCTATGGGCATGGGGGATCTAATGAGGCCGTGACCTCATTCAGGCAGCAAGTCCTTGCCGCATCGCAGGTTCCCACACTGCACAGCACTCGGAGTTAGCTGCCAAAACTAGTTAGGCCAGCTGAGGCTCTGAGCTACGAATCGGGTTTTTCTCGGCTTTGTAGTTTTTCTATATTTTTTTTGTTGGCCGAAACTCGTGCCAATCGCGTGTGCACCGCACGCTTGCGCACCAGAGATCTCTCGACGCGACTTGACTTGACTCTCTTGCCTTTGGCCGCTATTAATCTTGGCTGAAACACCACCACCTCCTCAACCTCCTCATCCACCCCATCCTCCCGCCAGCCCGCGCACTTTTGCCCCCAATCAGCGTCTAGGCTTTGAACTGCACGTTTGCCAAATTGAAAGCGACTGACTTGGCAACACGGACACCGGCTTAAACTCCAACTTGGAGTCGGAGCTCGGATCTTGGAGCTCCGAAGCCAACTCCGACTGCGATTGCGATTGCAGCTCCGACAGAGGCCAGCTTGTGCCTGGGCTTGTGCCTTTCAGAGGCAGACTCGGGGAGTCGTTAGTCGTTACACTTCCTTGTAATGGGTCCTTGGGCTACAGGATTTACTTAAGAAATAAGGTCTTTAAGAAAATAAAATCCCTCTCTAAATCAATAGATAATCTGTTACCAATGTTTCGAATTCAATTAATAGATATTGAACTTTTGATAATATCTTATAGCGTTATTCAATAAAAAATCTATATTAGGACTTGGTACTAAAATAATCATATACTTATCATAGGAATTATTTCTATTAAAATTAACATTGTTTTTATACCCGTTACTCGTAGAGTAAAAGGGTATACTAGATTCGTCGGAAAGTATGTAACAGGCAGAAGGAAGCGTTTCCGACCCCATAAAGTATATATATTCTTGATCAGGATCACTAGCCGAGTCGATCTAGCCATGTCCGTCTGTCCGTCTGTCCGTCTGTCTGTCCGGATGAACGCTGAGATCTCGGAAACTATGAGAGTTAGGCTATTGAGATTTGGCGTACAGATTCCTGAGCTTCTTACGCAGCGCAAGTTTGTTTCAGTAGACTGCCACGCCCTTTCTAACGCCCACAAACCGCCCAAAACTGAAACTCCTACAGTTTTGATGCTAGATAGAAAATTTTAACTGAAATGTATTGTTCTCATCAATACCTATCGATTGACCTAAAAAAAGTTTGCCACGCCCACTTAAACGCCCACAAACCGCGAAAACCTGTGACGCCCACAATTTGGATGCTAGATGAAAAATTTGAACTGAAATGTATTGGTGTCGTCAATACCTATCGATTGATTCAAAAATAAATTTGCCACGCCCACTCTAACGCCCATAACGCTTAAATCTGTCTACCGCCGGTAGGTG